CGGTTGTTGTATCTAATGCAAAGTCATTGTCCACTATCAGTGCCCAAGATATCTAACCGCCTTCAGTGGCTGAAACGAGATCTAAAAACGAGATCATTAAAAAATGAAAGCTTTGGAAGAAGTTTTGCAGAACTAGCCATGACGAAGCTTTCGAAGAATACAAAATCCAGCGGAACAAGGTAAAAAGTTGGTTTTTAAAAGATGACAGGACTTTGAGTGTGGTTTACTTCACCGAGCAGTAAAAAATCTGAAGTTTCTATACAGCTACTTAAAGAAAAGCACACGTAACAAGAACCCGATTCCTGTTATGGAAAATGATGGCGGTCTCGAAACCTCCGACTGTAAAAATAAAGCCAAACATTTTGCTGAGTTCTTTCGTTCTGTCTTCACCACAGAAACTGCGATCGTCGCAACTAAGGACGAGATCGCGGGAGCGCCAAATATTGAGGGTATTGTGTTTGGAGAAGAGACGATTTTTCAAGAACTAAAAAGCTCGAAGGAAGGTAAATCTCCTGGTCCAGATGAGATTCCTGCAAAATTGCTCAAGGAAATTGCTAGATAACTGGTTAAACCGCTTTCCATGATGTGCCAGAAAGCGTTTGATACTAGAATCCTTCCTACAGATTGGAAAACAACGCATATTACACCGCTTTACAAAAGCGAAAGTCGTGCAGCTGCTACCAACTACAGACCCGTGAGTCTGACCTCCATGTGCTGCAAAGTATTGGAGAAGCTCATCAAGCCAACATTGTAAACAACTTTTCTGGCTCTAGACATTTTTCATACTGTCCCGTAAAAATTCATTCGAAATTCTGTCATGGTATCATATGTCCTCCAACAACTGCACGTTACCTGTATTAATAGCATCGTTTGCTTTACATTAATAGGGTCCTCAAGGGCATTTCTTGCCTGTAACCCTTAAATATACATCTAAAAAAAAGAAGGAATTGATGATATATTGTCAAAATCACAATATTTTGTCGAATGCGCAATATGGTTTTCGTAGGGGTAGGTCATGCGGTAAAAACTTGCTTTCCATAATGCAAAGCTGAACAGGGGCAATTTATGCAAAAGAAACCGTACATGTGGCCTACGTAGATTTTCCGAAAGGCCTTCGACAGTGTTCCACACCAACGTCTCCTGCACAAGTTGAGACTGATGTGTATCGGAGGCAGACTTCTTACGTTGATTGAGAATGTCCTCGCTGATCGTTCCCAAACTGTGTGTGTAGGACGACGAAAATCAAGGCCGACAGTCATCGAGAGCGGAATCCCTCGAGGTTCAGTACTCGGACCTTGTTTGTTAATGATTGTGTACAGAAATTGGACTGCGAGTGGGCCATGTTTGCAGATGATGTAAAAATATAGAAGGTCATCAAGAATGCTGCCGATGAAGATAAATTCCAGGAAAATATTTGTCGATATAACGATTGGTCACAGATGGCTCCTGTCCTTCAATTCGAACAAATGCACTCTGCTGCGTCTGGTAAGTCGAAGTCCGGTCCCTGATGCGCGATCCTACTATCTGAACGGAATCTCACTCCAAGAAGCAGAAATGCAGAAAGATCTCGGCATATGGATGACAGACAACCTCAAATCTTCTACACAATGCTGTGAGGCGGCTAGAGCTGCAACCTCAATATTGTACGCCATCCAGCGCGCATTCAGTTTTTTTATTAAGACTGTTTCTCGAAAAACTTCGGAACCCTCATATTTTCCTCAAATATACTGACTGATAGACTGACTGATTTATATGGTAACTCAGTAAATAAACTATGCATGTTGGTAGAAAAAAATTGTGTGGATGTCAGGGGAGTTGGGGGAATCGGGGTCAAACATCTGATCAGTGTTAGGGGGGACTCGTAGTTGAGCGAGGTGATAAATTGCTGGTTGCTGGATTAGCGGCCTTTGGCCATGGTAAATGCGGCGCCGCGATGAAGTTTCTTTGGGTGCGCAGGACCGGTCGGCGTAGCCTGATGGCGGTCGCTTCTACCGTAGCCAACAGACACTGTTCAAACAATTTTGAGTAAGTTGAGGGCACCTTGTTGATCACTCGGAAGGCCTCCGATGGTTTGAGTCTACCGAGTGCGCCAGTATGCACCTGTTTATACCCTTCAGTTGGCCCTTTCCTAGCCATGCTAGAATGTGTTCTCGTTGTCTTTTGCACAAACGCCGATTCGTGCGACCAATATACCCTGCCCCAAAAGAGCAGGTCAATGAATATACGCACATAGATGTGGTCTGGGCTGGCAGTTTGTCCTTGATCTCTCCGTATAGGATGGGAGAGGTCTAGAAGGCATTGACTGCTGGTAAGGTGGTTGCTACAGCTTGACTCAGGTGCCTCCTTAGAAGTTCGCTTGGTCCGTCCCCTTGAAATGAGACCTTGATGAATATTCACTTCTTCTCGGCTGTTAAGACGGAGGGCTTTATAGGCCATTCAGCCATGTTCTTAATGGTAAATTGACTGGGATACCGGTTTTGTCGAAACACGTCTTTAAAAATATTAAGCTCCTATTCGAAGCTATCAGTCGAGCAGATCCTTTTCGCCCTTTGCGTCAAACATCTTATTAAATTACGTTTGAAATCCAACAGTATGAAACAAGCAAGATGGATGTATTCCCTGGACCACGTCTTCTTACGATATATCCTACGTTGATACTCTCATCAGCCTTTGCAGTTTTTGCATTATTAATGAGTTATGTTCCATCCATGATGAATTCTCGATTTGCGTAATTTCGACCTGTCTGAAGAAATAGGGCGAGGTCCGTACCCGATCTGAGTGGAAGCGCCGTAGGAGTCACATTAAGAAAGGTCTTTTGTTACCTGATTTTCCATCCCCAGAGGATGGCCAACTTTGCGTTCGAAGTCATGTCTTTCAACCTACTGTGCTACATTCAAAGCTCATCAAATTATACATGTGAAGGAATGGTGTCAAATTCCGTTACGTTGCAGCTCTCATAGTCAACTCCATTTTCGATTCCCTCTCCTGTACACCAGTGTATGGTACACACCGGTCGGCTTACCAATACAGATGATACCAGTTGTAGCCATACAAGTAATAAAATTTTACTGTCATAACGAAGGCACCGTCAAAAGCGAAAAATTAAAATGTGCATCAGAAAATCATGTTTTACAATATTTGTCGCCGGGATTAAGGAAAGGTTTGCCGGGGATTTTATTATTATCCCTGTCTTCTCCAAGAAGAATCGGTCTTTAAAATGTCTTGTTCTCACGTAAAGATGGTTGTCAGTTTAGTATTTTATTTGGACTATATTGACTTGTATCTCGGCAGAAAGGCAAATTCAGCACGCAGGCGAATTGAGGAAATTAATACTTTCAGAAAAACTTAAAGCAAGCAAAATATAGCCCGTTTATTGAAAAGTATAGTCAATTTGGGATTATCTAGTAGAAAACGAACAATACAGTGCCTGAATGTTTTTAAATTAAACTACCAATGTTTGAATACATTCTTTCAACGCCGCGTTTTCAACTGCCTACGGCGGAGTATTCAAGCGCGGCGTATGCCGTTTAAAACAGCCTTTGTTCTAATCGCCGTATGTCTGTTTAGTGCCATTGTGCATCGCCTTCACCAATCTCAATTTTACTAAAATTGCCAACCATTTCCAAGAGGGCAATTTATCTCAGATTCTTGATCGCTATCTCTCTAAATTGATTGTTTTTGTCGTCGACCAGCATGGTGAGTATTACTTTTCTATAGTCATCATATTCTACTTTCTTCAGTTTAGAACAGACGTTCGCCCCAAGTTCTTTCGAACTCTTGCACTTCTTTGCGAGGACGAATCTCTATCAGATGCTCAGTTGAAGGCTTATCAGACGCGCTTACAGTACATCTTGATTCTTAATTGTTTATTGCTTAATTCGCAGGGAATACCAAACCTTTTTGGAGGCAGTCAGTCGACTAGCTAACTGTGGAAATGTGTGTATCACAGAGGAAGCAGTGATGATTGGAGAAAATGGACTTCTCACGGGAGAATCGTTGAACGCCCTACAGCATGCTGGCGCGATTTCTGTATATAACACATTGCAACAAAATAATTGGGAGTTTCCAGTTCCTGAAGGTTTTCTTGCCTATGCTTTTTAAAATATATTCGATAGAGGGTGAAGCGGTCGTAATCAAAACTCATACCACCATGCCTGACGAGTTTCTTGATCAAGAGAAGCCCATTCGCTCAGACTGGCCGTCTATACACATCTCAGAATGCTTTGTGGAAGGTGAAAAGGCGAAGCTTCATGGCTCTGTACGACCTCTCCGCACATTTCTCCCACCCAGTATCGTTTTTCGGAACGCCGCCGATATCGATGACGATATGCCAGAGCCGGAAATACCGGTTTCGAACTCTACTGGGATAGAAGCTGGTCTTGAAATCGTCTCTACGTCTGAAGGCCTTGCCGTAAGAAAACCCACTGAAAAGGATACAGAGCCGGGTAATTAAGAATTTCTTACTCTTTTGCATTTGTATTTTTCACTCCTATTACAAGTTACTTCGTTTAGAGACATTAAGAAAGTGCTCGATACTTTGTTACATTTATTCGGTTGATCTGCGAGGTGTCTTTGTTTTAGGATTATTTGATTGCTCCTGAAAGTATATTCAAAGTTAGTTTTCAAGGTCCTGATAAATCTGAAAGCATCCATATAGCACACATTCAAGTTTTAAGGTAATCCTACCCCTCATTATTTAGAAATAGGCTGTTTGTCGGAAACACGTATTTTTTGCGTTTTGAAGTGTTATTTGGCCTGTAAAATTACCAAGCCTAGTGTCATTCAGTGAAAACGTGTAACCTTCTAAGTTGCATTTTTTATCTTGTTTCTAATAATCAGCACTGGCGCAATCCAACCAATGCTCGAATTGTCTCTTGTCAGTGATCCCGAGATTCTTCAACTTCTATTGCACATTTAGGGATAGTGATTTATGCATTACGTCTATGGAATTTAGGCTGAAGGCATCAACTGCGTTCTTCCAAATGTACGGCAATTTCCAGTGCTTAACGAGGACGGGTGTAACTAGTTATAATGTATACTTAATCCAGCCGACCACGTCGTTTGACTATCTGCAAAAAATGAATCAGATGTTCAAGCTCTATCATGTTTAGGCGTCCGTCCGATGTCCACCGGAAATAATGGTTTAAAAACTCTTCTGCGTAATGGACGTTCTTTCGATTCTATTGTCGCACGTCTCGTTACTCAAATAACTTACTACTTGTACTTGTTACGGCTGTGATCATGCTTGATCTAGCCGGCCTCAATGATGTCACG